TATCAGCTTACACGAAATAGGGTGAATACATCTCTTAATAGCTATGGTGATTATACTCAATTTTTGTGTGCTTTTAGGCTTCACATCAATCCATTAATCTTGGATAAGAACTTAGTTACTCTAGGCCACTAAAAGTGGTTTGTGCACTGGCGATGGAGTCGTTTTGATGAACATTACCTTATCTTTAGCCTGAGTAGATTTCGAGACTATTCATTCTTTTTCGAGATCTACTGGCTGTAGTGAATATAAGTAATGCAGTCGGTTGTAATAGCAAATACAAGTTTTCTATATCAACAATCTCATCAGCCCTGCAAGCCATTGGTAGTCGCAAGAGCTAGTGGCAGCATGTCAAAAAGAAACAGGTTTGATTCCCTGTGGGGTACTGATGGGACCCAGGCAAGTTTGAAACTGATGTCCAGTTCATCTTGGAAGGAAATACCTTTAAGGAGACGGGGCCAAGTGAAATTGACTGGCATCATGAGACCTACTCATACCATTATGGAAAAAACTCCATTATCAGTCCTCAAGTCACCCTTAATTGACCTAAGGCGACTAAATTCTTTTTTTTAACTGGCCATAAACCTCCAGAGATGGTTTTCCACTATGTCCCTATTCAGGATCACGGGTTAAAACTATTTTAAACACATCATGCCAAGTAGCCCATGAGATAAAATGTAAAAGTTTTGGCTGTTCATTATGTGCGCTTTGAAATAAAGTGGAACAAGCAGCGCCTAAACTGTCAACTCATGACATGTGGACTATTAGAAATCAGTAGAAAATATTTTATAATCTTGCATGAATATATAAGAAATCCATGAATAACACTCACAATTTTCGGCTTACTTATGGGAAGATCTCTGATTGGCCTTGAAAATCTGTTTATCTTGTACCTTCCATGCATGTCGACCAATTCGCCCTGGTAACCAGGTCCGCTGATAAAGAGGAGACGGTCCATTCTTCGCAAGTCAAAAGTGTAAGATACCAAGCCACTGGTGCAATGGCAACGCCGGGAACGGGCAGTCTTTCTACAGTAACTCGCCTAGGCGGTGTTGGGGCTCTAGGCTCGACCTCGTCTTCTGGCATGTCTACTGGCTCCGGTGGTGGTAGAGGCCCGTCTGGCGAGGCATGGGGTAGCGGAGCCGGGAGTCTGCTGTCCGGAAACGATCCTGCGAGCGCGAAAATCAACCCTCCATTCGCCAGTTCCATCCACGTCACCGGCTGCAAAATGGAATCTTCCTCAACAGTCACCAGCAGCAGTGCTGCTGGGGGCAATACCACAACCTGTTCTGAAGGGACTGGTTTCAGTGCAGCCTTGACAAATGTGGTTGCTGGGCTGACTGGAGTCGTTAACGAGGTGACTGCCGCCGTGGGGGACGCCAAAACATGTGAGATCTGCCAAAAGGTGAAATTCACCCAAGGCAGCGGTCACATCTGCCATAATTGCCGCAAAAAGACGTGTGCAAGATGCGGCTTTCCGAGTAACACCGCTGCAGCCAACTCGCAGGTGATTATAGCGTCTAAAAGTCTATTATTCAATTAAAAACCGTTTATTTGATTTTTCCATTATGACAACCTAATAATTAGAAAATTTCGTACTGCCCTTCGCTTCAAACATAGACAACCTGTTGACCAGATGAAATCTCTCACATTTTTGTAAATTACTTTGGGCTACAACATCTACGAGCAATTCCTTATTAGCAATAAAGTGACGAAAACAGCATAAATAGAGGCAAAACATTTTCCTTCAAGTTTGTCCCATGACGTATATTTTCTAGTTTCCTTAGGGTGAAAAGTGTTTATCCACTCTCGAACCGTAAGCAAGCATGAATGCAATAGCATGCTTGGTAGATGTTTAGTCATTTTTTATAAGCCTTCCGCGGTAATATTTTGTGCGTAGAAGATATTGGCAACTGCCTTATTATCATAAAAATTGTAATATGCTCTCTTGACCCTGGGGAAGATGGTAGAATATATAACATGTTACAGTTATCGTAAAACCATTTGCGCAATGAAGTTAACTTAGGCCTTGTTTTTTCTGCTGAGCTTGACCCACTCAGCGATTCTCCTTCACCCCCAGAGCCTCTTCCCAAAACACTCGGTTCATGAGTTGAGCTGAATTCCATCTCGCTTGAAATTGTGTTCTAAAGAGATTTGTGACCCGATCTGCAAGATTTTCCAGAGATGTTCGCGTTGAGTATGATGAAAATAAGATAGACTTTCAAATAAGAATTTAGTCATTTTTCATTTATAAGTAGATCACCCTATTTCGTTTAAGGTGCTGAAGAACTGGTAGTTGAATTGTACCACAGTCATAGGAGTAGGCCTTAAGTTGCCATTCACTTTCACATAGCCTTGCCTCCCAAAAGCTATTTTCATTCCGGCTGGAGTGGACCGCAGTTTCGACCTCGCCTAAACTGGTCTCACTCGTGCATCTAGCAGGATTCGAACCATGGCAATGCAGCATATAATCTCGGCACGCGCTGCCCTATGACTCAAGGGCACTCGTGGCAATATGGCGTAGTGATTAACGTGTCAGCATTATACTCTAAACTGTCGTGGTTTGAGTCCCTCTGAGGGTGCTGATGATACCTATACAATGTCGAAATTTCAGTCCTCTCTAGATGGTAATTCCTTTTGAGAAGCAAGGCTACATCAAACTAAATGTAAACCTAAGTTTTACTCATATAATTGTGGGAAAATTCAACTATCTTCATCACCTCAAATATGATAGGTCGAATGTATCTCATAAGAATTTAGTCACCATAAAATGATTTAAGAACTGATAACAATGCTATTGTTATGCAGCACGATGCCAAGAAATTCAATCTAGCCTTGCCTCCAAATAGGTCCCCTCATCGTGGCTTGATTTCAGTTCCGACCTGATACAGGTCCTATCTGCCCTGGCACCCGTGGCTGTGTTGCGGAATGGTCACTTCGCCGAGATGCCCATGACCCGGTATCGAATCCTGATGGAAGTGCTGATGAGATAATAAGGCATAGTCGAAACTGCAGACTAGGCTGGATAAAACAACTTTTTTGGAAGCACAGCAAAGTTGAATTTGATATTTTTCGTTTATAAGTTGGTTTCAGGATAAGCTATATATTACCCTATTTTGCTTAAGGTGACGATGGACTCTTACTTGAATTTTCCCACATTTATATGAGTAGGCCTCAGGTTTACATTGAATTTCACATAGCATTGCTTCCCAAAAGATATTCTTTTCTAGAACTCGCGGAACTTGAACCTGGGTGGTGTAGCATAGGGTCACGACACGGTACTCACTACGCAACACTGTCACAAGTACTCTTGAATCGCAGAGCGGACATGGATTTGGAGGGTTAGTTTCATATATAGGATCTAAGGGTAGGCTCAAATAAATAATTTAGTCGATTATACTAGCAAATACAACTTTGCTTCATCGACAATCTCACCATGAAATTCGAGTCTGATCTGTCACTCAGAGGTACTCGTGGAAGTATGGCGTAGTAATCAAGTTGTCGAGACTATTCGATGGACAACCGCAATCCAGGTTCGAGTCTTGTTGGGCGTGCTGATGAGACCAGTTCAGGCAAGGCCGATACTGAAGTCTACTTCAGCCTGGATAAGAATGTCTTGTTGAAAGCAAAGCCATGTAAAATTCAATGGAAACATGATGTATGTTCATATCACTATAGGAAAACTCAGCCGCTAAGCTTTGGTAATCTTTAACGAAATAGGATGAGTATCGTGAGGCCTAATTATAGCATAATGGTAAAACTCAATTATCTCTCTTTAATTCACCTTAAGCGACCTAGAGTGATTTATCTCTTATTCAAGAATTAGAAATGGTCTCGAAACCTACTCACATCGTTTCTTACAATTCACTTAGCGAACATCACCCTAGTTGTAGCTCACTTTCATATCGGCTCTGCTCTGATAATCAATTAAGAAATATATCCAATACATTATTACCCATAGTATATACAAACGGCATTGCGTAATCATAGGCCAAGTATAGAAGCTCATAAAGCTCGTTCAATTATGATGACCTTAGGACTGATAGAAGTGGGTTGACCTCTTTGTCGCTACTTGGTCTTGTTGTCAGGGCGACTTAGTAGAAAGCACCTAGTGTAAAGTCGTCTGCCATAGTAGTTGTCATAATTCCTAGTATTAGACAGTGGACTTGGTACATTCTCAAACGTTTTGCCAGCATCGTAGTCGGCATCATCAGTGAGTTTTGCCATTCTCCCCACCAAGCTACGAACTCGTCAAAGAGTCAAGTGAAGTCAATCCCTCGTCAAACGTTCTACCGAAAACGGTTACACTATCACTCCTCTTTCTATCCTGGCCTATCTATCTACTCTTTAGCCTCTTATCCCACTCACGCCCTATCACAACTTATCACTTGTTTACATTCCACTCGTCATAATGTGTGTCCTTTTGTGGCAAATCTAGTGTGGCCTCATCGCACTTGCTATTCACACCTACCTCTTTCGATCGGCTGATCCAACTCGGGCCTCCAATCCGGATCCCCTTCATGATCAGAGTTAATTGAACATATGAAGACCAAGCTGGTGTGGACTCTGGTATGGTCGCAGTTTTCGGCAGAACGTTTGTCGAGAGATTGACTTCACTTATCTCTTTGACGAGTTCGTAGGTTGGTGCGGAGACTGGCAAAACTCACTGATGATGCCGACGATGATGCCAGCGAAACGTTTGAGAATGTATCAAGTCCACTGTCTGACGCTACTATAGCAGACGACTTCGGACTAGGTGCGTTCTACTAAGTCGCCCTGACAACAAGACCAAGTTGCGA